AGCATGCTAATTAAAGATGGTTTCAGAACATACCTGTTCGGAATATCTTATTTTTTTTGTTTCTAAACTCAGGAAGTCTAAGGAGCATTATCCTGTGACAAAGGAAAATGACGTGACAATGACCTATAGAAGGCTTAATGTGATTGGAACCTGGGAGCAAAGTTGTGGCTTTCAATACATATTGAGATCTGTTCATTTAAAACATGAGTCCCAAATTAAAAATCAATTGGATAAAAGCAAAAAGGTCTCTAGGGGTCCACACAATGAAGACAGATAGAAAAGGAATCTTGGACAGATTCTTATTAGTGTTGCCAGAAGACACAGAGTCAAGATTGAAATCTGTGTAATTGTATTACACAATTGTATTACACATTGTATTGTGTGAAATCATGTGATCTTTATTCCTTTCTTCTACAATTTGATGCTTGTATCCCTTGTACTGATTTTTATATTTCCTGATTATTGGGTTTGGAAAAAACAAACAAACAAAAGCAGTGTGAAGAAGCTGCCACAAAGAGAAACATGAGTGAGCCAATCTTAAGGAAACAGAGCAGTGTTTGTGTTGTGCTTTTTTTTTTTTCCTGTGTTTTTAGATGAATATAATCTTTTCGTCATTATATAATGCAGATGCTGTCCTCCATGTGAAGGCCCATCATGATGATGTCGCCTTCATTCTTACCTCCTTATTTTCTTAATCCCCCCATGTCAAAGTGCCTTGCCACCCTTCCCAGGTCATGCTCCTGAGGTCACTCACACACATGTTGCACTCCCTCTGTCATTTTCAACTTCTTTCTGCTTTCCCCCATCTGCCACTTAAAGCCATTTAAAATCTTCAGGCCTGCATCTGCCTTTCAGATTTCATCATGGTGATTTCTAAATCTGTTCATTGATTTCCCTTCTTTCCTCCAAAGCATTAATCAACCTGCTAAAGTTCTAGTTTTGTTACCTGCATTCCTCTCTTCTTTTACTCCTTTTCTGTACTTTGGCAACTCATGCCTGTGTTGCTGTATCTCTGCATTCTCATACAGTAACAGAATTCATCCTTTCATAAAACAGCTTATCGAAAATATTTAAGTGCTACACATTTATTACTTTTGTAGGATAGCAGAGTATCTTGAATATTATGCAAAAGAAAAGATTTTTTAATGGGAATAGCCTTTTTTATGAAAACTATTAGTTTAAACAAGTATTGCAGTCTGAATTGAATTCTTCTTTGTTGTACAGGTTATAATGGGGATTCTCTTCCCTCCTACCATCCTTTTCCTAGAGTTTCGCAGTTACGATGATTATTCTTACCAGACATCAAGAGAAAATGAAGAAGGCAAAGAAAAAGAGGATGAAAATGTGGTCAGTACTGGAGCTTATCAGGAAGTTCTAACACTTCAAGAGTGCTCAGTATTCTAAGTTCTCTCTGCTGTAGGTCATTGAGGTTAAAATCGCAACTGCCTCTGTGAAGAATCAGTGAAGGGTATTGGAAGTATATAGGCTGTATTCTCAGGGTGTGTAAATTGTAGAGATGTATAGATTTACTATAGCTGAGAGATTTTCTGTTTTAAGAAAAGACAACTGAGCTAAAGACTCCTCTGTTGCTCAGAGGAGGCGTTTTGAAGCTAACAGTTGGCTGGGATTATAAATGCGAAAAGCTACTATTTTTTATGTGTGTATCAGTGAAAACTGACATCATCATTTTTTTTCAGGATGCAAATGCGGATACAGGTTCCCGAAAAGGAGATGAAGAGAATGGAAATAAAAAACAAAACAGCCTTCCAATTGGAACAAAGATCTATGAGTTCTATAATGCACCTATTGTCAAATTTTGGTTCTACACAGTAAGTCATGGTGATTAAGCTGACAGTGATTGTTTTTCTCATGCCTATGAAACTTAAAGGATTGTCATGTAAAAATAGTAACTACATAATACATACATAATAGTGATTTTCATGGAATCTGATGAGTAAAGCACTCTTTTTATTCAGAGAAAAATGCTTAGACAGTGAAACAGAACAAGCAACTGTAGCTTATGCTGTCACCCTCTAAAGCTCCTACACACTTTGAAGGAGGCTCTGGCTAGCTAAACATATGCCAGACCATGCAAGCTGCATAGTCCAGTCACTCAGTCCATGCTAGACTGGATTCCCTTGCTTTTTAAAGCCCTCTGGATCGTGTTCTGCTTTGAAATGCACTTTAATACCAAACAAGAAATGCTGCAGTATGAGTGCTTGCCATTCACTGTGTCAAGTTAGGCTCAGGTGAGTGCAACCTCAACAGAAGCACAGATCCCTAAGACTTAATGGATTCTTTTTTTACTTTTTAAATAATTAAAAACAATCTAAACTACAGCTATCTCATTTTCTCTTTAGTGCATCAAGAATTATCTAGTGCCAAACTCTACTTTAATAAAACAGAAAGAAATACTCATGCTGCTGCTCATGAATTTCATGTGTTCCCTGCATGAAGGATACTGGTTTCTTTTTTATTCTGAGTTAGGATGCTATAATATTATGTAGGTTTTTAGTTTCAGCAGGTCATCACACAGCACTATACTGATCTGATCTTTCTGCTGCCTGTAATAGTAATTTAAAAGGTTTCATACGCTATGGTTTACAAAAGGTTTTCATTACACTATGGTTTCATAGTGTAAAGGAGTTACATTGTCGTAGATTAAAAAAGCCACAAGCACAAAGGGCCTGATTTAAAATGCTTTGCCATTGTCCTGCTTATTTCAACAAATGAGATAATTTAGCTGTGTGGATCATGTCCATCTGCTGGAGGCCCATGGCCTCTGCCACTGTGCGCAACAGCTGTAGTAGCAAGAGCATTGTAGCAAGCACACTTCCTTCACGAAATAAAAGCTTTTTCCTTGCACAAATAAGTCTTCAGCACCTGAATCTGTCACACACAGCCTCAAAATATGTGTTCATATGTGTTAATATGAATGTCACAAAAGTCCATAAAGGATATCCTTTTTGTAGATATCATACCTGGGTTACTTGATGCTATTTAATTATATCATCTTGGTGCGGATGGAACGGTGGCCGTCAGTCCAGGAATGGATTGTCATCTCCTACATTGTGACACTGGCTTTAGAGAAAGTAAGAGAGGTAAAGTCTGATCATGCTATCACATAATCTTCAAAACGAAGCTCTTTTGTAGAGGTAATAATGGCATTGACTTATGCAGAATGTGAGAAGCCATGCATGAGACAAGATTGTCTTATCCACAGAGTCCCAAAACACCAATCATTGGAGAGATTTTCATTTATGACCCATATCCTAAATCTTTCCCTTGCTGGGTAAATCTTCTAGTTTGAATGTTATTGATAAATTTCAACAACAGCAACAAAGGCTTAATTAAGCCAAAATAGAAAGAAAGATTAAAAGAAAATGTTGCAGCTAGGCACTTAAAATATTGCTGCCTAAGAGAAATTGTGCTGCCAATGGGAGGGGGTCCCAACCATGTATTAAATGTGAAAAGGTTGTTCTTTTTTCATGACTGTTACTTCAGAAATGTAGCTTGGCATTTCTCCTAATTATGTCTTTGTTAATTTTTTATTTTAGATTCTGATGTCAGAGCCAGGAAAGCTGAGCCAAAAAGTGAAAGTTTGGCTCCAGGAATACTGGAATATTACTGACCTGGTGGCCATTTCAGTATTTATGATAGGAGCAATTCTTCGCCTACAGAACCAGCCTTACATGGGTTATGGAAGAGTAATTTACTGTGTAGATATAATTTTCTGGTACATTAGAGTACTAGATATCTTTGGTGTGAACAAGTATCTGGGACCTTACGTCATGATGATTGGAAAGATGGTTAGTAAGTTACGTATTTCAGAACTTTGTAGGAAACAAAATTCAGTTCTGATTTTAAATAACAACCCTGAAGAAGTTTTTCTATCTGTGTAGGACTCTGAGTAAGGGCTGTGAAAAAAATTGCCTTGTAAATTTTGCACACACATGAGATTGAATACTCTTGCTAATAATTGCTTGATTCAAGAGGGAGATACTTTTTAAATTGGTTCAAAAAAATTCAGAAGATTGTTCACTTTGCCTGCCTTCTGCCTCCCAAAGCCATAGCAATAACAGATTGATGATAAATAGGAATCATCCACAAAACCATCAGTTGTGGACAAATGATACAACAATGATTGTCATCTCTTTGCGACCACAGAAAGACTCTGTTGGAAGCACAGCATAGTAATGCCGTGATACATGATACAAAAGAGAATAGGGATAACAAACCTTTTACTGTTTTAAGTCTTTTTTTAAATATAAATTCAGACTTTTTCCTGTATTTTTATGTATGTTCATTCATGAGGAGTAGTTAAAGTCAAAGACTTGATCATTTTACTGCATGTTGGCAAACAGACATGCCGATGCCCCTGTACTAGCTTGTGATGATAAGAACCCCTCTGTGTGGTCTCTCTGCAGATGATTGACATGCTCTACTTTGTGGTGATCATGCTTGTGGTTCTAATGAGTTTTGGAGTAGCCCGCCAAGCTATCCTGCATCCAGATGAAGAGCCTTCTTGGAGACTAGCTCGCAACATCTTCTATATGCCCTACTGGATGATCTATGGAGAGGTGTTCGCAGACCAGATAGACCGTAAGAGTAGAATTCATAGTAAGATTCTGTTTCCTGTTTATGAGGCAGATGATCAGATCCAAATTAATGTTGTTGTTTTTTATTTTTTTAATTTGGAATTAGAGTGGTTTTGTCTGTATGATTAATTATTCTTGTCTTGAGGGTTTTCTTGTGACAAACTCAGGAGACTAAGAACTTCCTGTTCCCCACCTGCATGTCCTGTCTCTCATTGTATGTCCCAATTCAGTTAACAGTGAGAGGGATATAGTCTGGAATACTCACCTGTCAGAGAGTATAACAGTATTAAATGTTCTGTTTACTTTCATGAATCAGCAGAGATCATTCTTAATCTTTTCTTTGAACCAATGTTTTACTAATAGACAATTCCAACAGAAGAAGAAAAAAATAAATACCTTTTACAGGAGACAAAAGTATACATGCCTTTTTATCTCCAGCTCACAGCACAAACAATGAGCTAATACATTTTTACTAATACTGATACATCTACTTTCCAGAAATCTTTCAGTTTCATAAATCACTCATGTTCTTTTCTACATCTTTGGAAAAACAAAACAATAAAGGAAAGCTGCTTGATTGGCTTTAGGTGTGGAAATAGTATTTCTTACACAAAAGCTGCACAGATGAAAATAAAATCTGTCTTAGAGGAGATGGACACTGTCATGTTACTGATAGTTTTTTGTTAATATTCAAAATTTGTACAGATGGTTAAACGTGGAGCTGGCTTCCTTTAGTATATATTAGAAGAGTTTGGCTGTCTTCTTTACTCCCCACCACTGCTGGGTGTACTCTTGCCTTTGTAAGATCTCTCCTGAGCCTTCTCTTCTCCAGGCTGAATAGTTCCAGTTCCCAGCCTTGCTTCATTTGTCAAGTGCTCCAGTCACCTTAAACATTTCTGTGGCCCTTTGCTGGATACTTTCCAGTACTGGGGAGCCTGGAACTTGACACACCAGTCCAGGTGTGCTTCCACCAGGGCTGAATAGAGGAGAACAACTACCTTCCTCAACTTGCTGGTAACTCTTTTCCTAATGCAGCCCAGGAAGCTTCTCAGTCTAGTTCGCTCCATTTAGAAGATGCCCATGGGCAAGAAATCAGTGGTATTCAACAGCAACATATTCATTAGCGATAGGAAAGACTGGCTGAGTTTCTTCCAAAAGTGTGATTTTTCTTATGCTCACCATTTAGGGGTTGGCGAGCGGGTATCTATACTGCCATTAAAATGGGCTTTAGTAATACTGTACTTTAATAACAGCAGTATCGTGGCTATTAATGGAAAGAGAGCTATTCAACAGAAACAGCTGGCAGACTCAAAGCCAGGGTGATTCTTAAAATAATAATAAAAAATCAGGAGGAAATATTCCATAATAGCTGAAAGAATGATCTTATGTGGTAACTTCGAGTTGTTTTGTGTTTGTGGTGACTGCCAGTTTTGTTAGTTGCCTGAAATATCTTGTAAGTTTACATGATCATCTGCCATCAGCATTTTGTGATTTATTTTAATATCATGGATTTGCTGCCTTGTGTAACATTTGGAGAACACAATGTGAAAAGGAAATGGCAGAATGCCGTGCAGTTTTAACTAAGACATTGTTTCTAACCATGTGTCTCCACTGTTACAACATTTAAGTTGCTTATCTTTTCTTGGTGACAAAACTGTATTTTCAATCATCTTTCTTGGTTTCTGTTTTCCTTATATTATTCTATTGTTTTCTTTCCCTCTCTCCCTGCCTCCTTTCTTATTTCGTTCCTTTGGAATGCCATTCAGTCTATGCCATGGAAATCAATCGTAAGTCTCTTTGGAGAGCTGCTGATGATCTAATTTAGCAGAATACGTTCATTAATCTTTTTCTTCACTAGATCCTAGGTATTCAGTAGATACCATAATTATAGGGCTTACCCAATATTCACATGTCAATTGTTTTTCTACTGAAACAGTTTCATCTGAAAAGAAGCAGAGGAAAAATATTTTAATATATGTTGCAGATCAGAAGTTTTGGCCAAGCTTTTGTAATTAATATCATGTTATAAATAATTACTTTTGATTACCTATATATTAGTGTTTCTTTAGCAGCACTTTCACTGATCCATGTAAATAATACTATGGTTCATTTGACTTCCCTTTTATACTTTCTTTGTGATAAACAGGAAAAACGTAGGTCTGATCTTTGAAAAGCAAGCAAAATATGTTGGGATTAATCATAGACTAAATATCTATTTTCTTTCACAGTAAGTAAGAATAAACTGTTGTCAAATATTTGAAAGTATTTCTCAGGGGACATTGTTTTTTTTTTTTCACTTTCAGAAAGCTTCAAAAAGCTGTTTTTGCCTAGTCACATAAATAAAAAGTGTAATGAACTTACTGTCAGACTTAGTATTCGTTAAGGGATTTCAGCTAAGGAACCTGTGGTTGATAAACACTCTACCTAATACAAAATGGTTCCAAAAAAGAGTTTAGCCTTGCATTTGAAATTAGATAGGCTGCCCCTGCACTTAAAGACAGAACAAACTTGCTGCATTTACCCAAACTCTAAAAAAAAGCCCTTACTCCAGAGAGTCTATGTATTTTGTGAGGAAAAAATATCCATTTGGAAAGGAAGCTACGCTACACAGTAAACTTGAGGTCACTCCCATGTTCACTATTACAGGACATTTTTTTTTTGCATGGTGTAGTTAGAAGCAGACTTTGGAATAGAAATTATACATACTTTCTACTGGAAATAAATTGGCAAAATTTATTTAGTTTGGTAAATTTTATATGTGTGTCATTATTAAATAAATGTGAATTATTTTCTCAACTGTCAGGCAATTTAAATATCTTTCCTGTTTTTAATTAGCTCCTTGTGGAGACAATCTTTACGATGAGGATGGTAAACGCCTCCCTCCATGCATACCAGGGGCCTGGCTCACTCCAGCTATTATGGCCTGTTACCTCTTGGTGGCAAATATCCTCCTGGTAAACCTGCTGATTGCTGTCTTCAAGTATGTAAATGATCATGTACTATCTTTACTTTCCTACTGCCAAGATAAAATTTCAGTGGGAGTCCATCAACTGATTTTGCAAGGGTTTGCATTTGCACTCAGAATCTATGAACATGACTGGCACATGTTCGGAATGGTTCATACACTAGGAAAGAGTACAGGACAGGTTACTGCAAATTTGCCAGCAACTGCAGTAGTGCGTATGCAAGAATCTGGCTATCATCAGTCACTGCCTAATGGATAATGTCAGGCCTCAAGATTGCTTAGTAAAGATGAAAACTGAATCCATGAAACTTGCTACATGGAAGCCCATACAACCATTAGCAAACATGATTCTACCATAGTTCTGCAGAATGAAAATGCAAGCATCAAAAGCAGAAGGCATTTCTACTATCACTGCATCATCTGCCTTCTTTTTTCTTCTTGCTTTGCTTCTTGTAACTTAGGAACAAAAAGAAGAGAGGGTTTTGCAGAGTTCCTATACCACCCATGACTGCAGTGTATATTGCCTTGAACCAAGAGAAAGGATGGCTACACATTACCAAGATCTGTGACTACATGTGTGGCCAGTACAAGCAACATGCAACTGTGCAAATTCTTAATATTATTCCATAAATCCATAAAATCCATACTTAGAATTTGCAGGAGTAAAACTAAATGCGTTTCTACAGCCTGTGCTTTCTGCCAACAATTATGTTGCATGCTTTTCCTATCATCATCTAGGGATTAAAAAAAATAGGAACAATTGAAACATGTACTTGCTACTAACGTTTTCCCATAACACCAACTGAGAAAAGCAGGTGATTCCATTTGGATGTCCATAAATATGCAGTGTTGCAGGGCTTGCTGGCGTAGGTGATGGGTGTCACAATCACAAAAATAGTTAATTTTGTGCTCAGAAATCTACAGCTCACAAAGCCCGTCTTTCATTTGATGTATGCAGCTTAAAAGGTCATGAATTTTAAAGTGCTGAAATGCCAGTCACATTGCTAGGGGGAAGGGGAAGTATCTTACAATGGTAGCTATTATTGGCTGAAGAGACCAAGGAATCAGCAGTTTGGGAAGTAGGTCATGCTGTTAACTCCTGCCATCCTAGCATGGTTACAGGGGGGTGAGACCTAACTGGGGAATTCCTGCTATGCTAGAGAGACAGAACGAAGTCAGGTTGTCAATTAACAGTGTTAGTAATCTCATGTGTTCTTAGCCAAAAGAAACTAGGAGCTACGTGTACTCAAGAATTCTCTGTTTTTGAAGAGATTTTTAAACTATTTTTGTGAAGGTAAATTTTCTAAAGAACAGAAAGAAAAGAATTGGACGAACACATAAAAAGAGGAAGCGTCAATATCATCCTCATAGATGTGAACTGTCCTCGTATATTTTAAAAAAGCTTGAAAAGCTTCATGTAAGACAGAACATCCAAATCTTCTCTCTCGTAGTTGGCATTTTATAACCTTTAATGTTGTTGTCTCTGGATTGAACAGTGTCCACTTTCTACTCCTTCATATCCCCTGAATTACAAAACAGAATGTCTTTATAACGCACCCCATTTTGGTGTAGAAATGATGAAGCCGTAGCTTCCAAGAACAACATGCTTTAAAAGAATATGCACAGTGTTTTCAAATCAGAAGTCTGAATGAACAAAGTTTGAATTTAGAACATTTTGTGAAAACTTGAGAAGTGTTCTATGTAGGTCAAGCTGATTAGCATGTTAAAAGAAAACTGTGGTTCTTTGGGTTTAGCATACAGAATACCTTTCATGGATTTAATACTTCGTATAATATCAAATACTGGAATGTGTTAATAGAATTAACGCATTAATAAATAGAATTGTTAATAAAATTGTGTAAGTTTATTTTCACTGACAGATAAAGCACTTTACAGTAGAAGCAAATAGTCTGTCTAAGATGATGACTATTTTGGGTGGTGCATAAGAGATACAGAGCACCTTCTGTTCTGCCACCTTCCAAAGGAGTAATAAAATCATGAGTTCAGGTTCATCATTAGTTCAGCAAGTTCAGTTGCATCAAATAAGAAGTGAACCAAGCAAGTCATGTGGCCTCATGTTGTTATTTATTTTTCACTGTTGTTCTTGCTTAATGATAAGTAAACTTAGGGACCTAATAGAAAATGTACCTATGTTCCCTTTCAGCAATACCTTCTTTGAGGTAAAATCAATATCCAACCAAGTCTGGAAGTTCCAGCGGTACCAGCTGATTATGACATTCCATGACAGACCTGTCCTCCCACCGCCGATGATTATCTTCAGCCACCTCTACATAATCATCAAGAGAGTCTGCTGTCGCTGCAAGAAGCGTGAAGGAGACCAGGATGAGCGTGACAGGGGACTGAGTATGCAAGGAATCTTCTCTAAATTTAGCTCTTTGCACCATATTAGCAGAAAGCAGTAGCTTTTCCAATGCTGAACTATTACTTTTGTTCACATTGACTGTCCAGTGTATTTGCAGAGGACAGCATGGGACAAAACTGATACGAAGTTAACAGCCGTTGAGTTCCTTGGGCTCTTAAGATTACAAGATGCTATGCTGGTAATGAATGCTTTCTTTAACATACTTCAGCATACCTGGCATCCACTTAATCTGGTTTTACCAAGTTCTAGTAAAGTTCATACAATGGAAAGGGGAAATAGGAAACTGAGAGAAAGGGATTACAGTTTCAAATGTCATCTGTAGTGTCAGCTTCGTGATTGTGAGCAATCTGTGTCCAAGAGCATACCCACTTTCTCCATGTTACATACCTGCTATTTCACAGGAGAACAGTGAGGATTCTTCTACTAACTCACTCTGCAATTATTAAGTAATTATCTTTTGCACAGTATGCTTTGGATTTAAAAGAAAGGAAATAAGGGCAGAAAAAAGAGTAAATGTAACAGTCACTACAGATAAAAAAAAAAAAAAAACGAATCTGAATAAAGGATAAAATGTTCCCACAAACTTAATGTTTCCATTGGATTTTCCTACATGATTTTAAGTTTTTGAAGCTCTTATCCAAAGAATGTCTGGAAAACAATGTTATATCACGTTACCTGTTGCCTTTAACTGTCATTCTTTATGGATGATACTTGAATTAAGGAACAATCAAACTGGCAGAGATTGCTCTAGTCTCAGCCTGTAAAATCTGTTGACTTTGTTTAACATGTAGCACTATTATTAGAAAGGGTAAAGGTCGCTAAAGGGTAAAGGTCACTAAGAAAATTCAGCCCGTAGTGAATGGTTGTAGAAGCAGGTAATAGTCACAATGCATTACGTTGCCTTCAGGGCTATAGCCATCCTTGGCGAAGTGCTCATTCCCTGTTTACAAAATCATCTGTTCTTTTAGTAGAGGAAAAGTTAAAGGTGTTAAAAACACATTTTTCTTCTGTTTTATGCAGAGTTATTTCTGAATGATGAAGAGCTAAAAAAACTGTACGAGTTTGAAGAGCAGTGCGTAGAAGAATACTTCCAGGAAAAAGAGGATGAGCAGCAGTCATCTAATGATGAACGCATCAGAGTTACCTCTGAAAGGTACCTATTAAGAAAAGAAACCAAACCACTTACCTGGAACAATATATTGCTTTTTGTGTCCTCATTATAACTGAAGTTTAGATAAAGTAGACTTATGATCTTGGAGAAACCCCTGCCATTCAGACGCTGTTCTGAGTCCTAGGTAAATGTCAATGCAGATGCATCTCTCACAAGAACAAGCTTTTTGTTGTTCTGATGGCGTGTCACTAAGGCTGCTGGTTTGGTTAGCTTCGTTGTAAGAACGTTTCTGTCCAAGGTAGTTTTTTCCCTCTCACCATCTGAAGATCGCAGTTACACCTTAGATTCCACTTGAGAAAAATCAGTACTTGTTAAACTTTTTAAGCTATGTTCCCTGACAGTGAGAACCTTCTCCTGCTTTCCTGTAGGCCCTCTTTAGGTACTGGAAGGCTGCGATGAGGTTTCCCTGGAGCTTTCTCTTCTCCAGGCTGAACATCCCCAGCTCTCTCAGCCTGTCTTCATAGGAGAGGAGTTCCAGCCCTTTGATCATCTTTGTGATGTTCCTTTGGACTTGATCTACATTCATGTCTTTCTTGTGCTGGGGGCCCCAGAGCTGAATGCAGTACTCTGAATGGGGTCTCATGAGAGCAGAATTGAGAGGCAGAATCACCTCCCTCAACCAAGCTGTCCATGCTTCCTAAGTTGATCTCTGAGACGTTTAATTCCCTAACGGCTAAATATCTTTTTGTTGAAGGGAGGCAATTTATATCTTGCAATATTATTTGTGAAGTTTGAGAATAGAGAAGTAAATGAAATCTGCCACATATTATCAAGTCATTTCTGTTGCACTATTTCTCCATGGCAATTTGTCAAAATCCTAGGTATTGTACCAGAGAATAAAGCGTGGTTGCTAAGCCTCACTGATTCACTATGGTCTATAGTCACAAAGCAGATTTGTGTATTTCTCATGACTTCTTGCTCCAGATGCTTCATCATCTTTTGTGTGTAAGAGCAAAAGAATGTTAATTTCATTTCCACAGTTGATTTACTAGTATATGATCTCTAAGTCACATTCTAACACCTGGCTTTTTTATTAATTCTTCTGGAACCGTAATTTCCATTACGATATAAATGATAAAAGAAAATGGAAAAAAAAAAGTTTTTTTTTTTAATTGAAATTTTTAAATTGAGCTAGACAGTAATTCTACTCCCTTCTGCACTGATACGTAATTGAAAGGTATTTCAAGAAAGAAAGTAACCCCATAAACACTAGTGCACGTTCCCTCTTCCACAGCCACAAAACCAGTTTTACAACATGCCTTGATGCTGTTTTAAGTCATTCTGTGAACATGTTATTAGAAGGTATTTTTCATATAATTAATAGATGCATTCACAACTGAATGTGAAGAGGGTGGCACACTCAAAGAGGAATATAATGGTAGTCTCTCCCAAAAGGGCTACAACTCTTGTACTCTCCTGGCATGTAAATAAGGGAAAATTCAAGTAGCCCTCTAATATGGTATAAGGAAAGCATGGATAAAAAGAAAATGAACAAGTACTATGCCACACACAGGAAAAAATAATGATGTATAATGATACATAGCACAAAATTCTGTCTTAGGAAAAAAATCAGTATCTGGGGGCCTATAACAGGTTACTGCACTATCCCACCCTTTCTGTTTTATGCTTCCTCTTTTGTACCCAACAGAGTTGAAAACATGTCTATGAGGCTAGAAGAAGTGAATGAAAGAGAACATTTTATGAAAGCCTCTCTTCAAACAGTTGACCTTCGACTCTCTCAACTGGAAGAACTTTCTGGTCGGATGGTGAATGCTCTGGAGAAGCTGGCAGGTATTGACAAGTCTGAGCTGACATATACGTGTTCACGGGCTTCATCTGAGTGTGATGCTGCGTATCTCCTGAGGCAAAGCAGTGTCAACAGCTCTGATGGCTACAGCATGTATAGATACCATGTTGGTGGTGATGAGTTAACTTATGATGACAGTACCACTCCGATGTCACCAGCCATAGGATTGCGTAAAAAAGCCTATTCCATTGGTGCAAAAGAAGATGGAGCAGACCCAAGGATGCTGGTTCCAGAGAACCAGACCAGTCTCCATTACACCTCTAATGCTAATTCAGTCAACCCGTCAGATTACAGTAGATCTACATTAGAAATTGAACAAAATGTTTCCAGACCTCATTCTGGTTCGGGTATTTTGGAGGATGAAAACCAAGGGATTTTCAAGAATGATGAAACGGTTCCTCGAAGTATAAACCAGATGGATGTTATCAGCAGACAGTCGGTACCCAAACCAGATTTTCAGAACACTCAGTTAAAAGTAGAACGGACTAAGTTAGAAGCAACAATCTCTTATCCCTTAGACAAATCAAAAGCAATGCGCTATTTTCCTCCTGAAACATTCAGTGCTTGTCAAACCACTATGATGAAGTCCAGGAGCTTTATATTTGCAAAAGGCGGAAAGGTGGTTGGAGGAGTTAACAACTGGACCACTGAGTATAGTACCATCATGGATCAGGTGTGCCCTTCTACAATTGAGCAGTGGGCCACAGAATGGAAATACGAAGTTGAGCAGCAGCTTTCTCAAGAACATCCTCCAGAGTACCCTGGTTTTGTCTCTGAAGCAGAAAGGCACGCAGAGCAGAAACAATTACAGATGGACACGGATGATGACAGTGATGTTGGTGAAGCAGGGATTAGTGCCTCTTACACGTCTGCACCTGCCACTGTCAAAGCTCAGAAGGAGAACTTACTATCAGTAAAGCCGGACAGGACTTCGGGGTTCCCATCAGTACGGTCCAAGAGTTTGCACAGCCATTCTCGGAAAGCCAAGTCTGTAAAGGACAAATTAAACAGACCAGGACATGCCAGTAGCGTAACTAACTTAGTGGTAGCATTTGGCAGTGCAACGGAAGAACAGAAAGCTAGGCAAGAAAATGCATCCACAGAAACTGAGTGTTGAAATGGTTTATGGCCCCTGTTTCATTGACAGTCAAGAAAGGAGTATGGCTAATTGAACAAATTATGGATTTTTTAATGAATTTTTACAGAAGAATTTTGCATATGTTTGTTTCTTTTAATTTTAGACTTGCTTGGTACATGTTCTGTTCTTAAATAAGTGCACTGGGTCAGGTGAAGGGGAGATACGTACTCTCTCAGGGGCAGATGTAAAAGTAGGCACAGTCCACAGATGCTGACAGCTTAGATCTTCCTTTTTTCCATTTCTACTTCCCTCATAAGCTTATTTTCTGATAAACTTTTTATAAAAGCTCTTGAAAGGACAATACAATCATGAAATAATGTAGAAAATATTTTTTCTTCTTTATCAGAAGACTTCTTAAATTGCACAAATTTTTAACCAGCCTTAGTTTTTATCCTGATTTATGCAGCTGGTTTCTTTCTGGCCATTATGTTTTCCAGATCAAAACAAAATTGTTGACTGCATGGAAATATTATGCAGTTCCCTTTCACTTCTGATTTCTTGCATGCTTCTTAGCAACTCTTTCAGAAAGGCAAAACATAGCAGTTTCTATCCAATAAAATAGAGCTGAATGGAAAAATACAGTTGTGTTTTGAAAAACCTGACCTGGAAAGCTATGTGTAAACATATTCTTGACCCATCTTTGAACTTCAGTTGCCATGGTCTGCTTTCAGGATCATATCTGTCCCTGCCCCAAAGCATGCTGGCAGCCTTAAACCGTTGAAAAACAGTGATTGTTTTGAAATGTTTTGGGAGATTTTAAGTATAAAAACTGTAGGGAGATTTTAATAATGTGAATCCAAGATCTGCATTGGTGTTTTGTATAAGCAGGGATTACAATGGAATCCCATGTAGAGAAAAAAAGTGACTTTGTTAAAATGCCTGCACTGGATAAAAAAACAGGAAAGGTAGTCTGATTAGGTGAGATCAAAATGTAGCCAATCTATGTTGGAAGCAAATCTATTGTGACAAATTAGTATTTAATTTTGCAAATTCAGTATGAAAGTGCATGAAGAACAAGAGTTCCTAGGGGTCAGTCTAAACAAAAAACAAATTCTACAGATGAGAAGAGAAATTCCATATATTTTCTTGAGTCAATTTCAAAAAGAAAGTTCGAAGGAAATAACTCTCTCTGCAGAGCGTTTTCTATCCCTCAACAACCAAGAGTGGAAATCCACATCTGTAGTTACAGTTTCAACAGTACGTTGAAAAACCTACTTACTAGGTTTTGATAGTTTTCTTCATAATAACATGATTTTTTATTTGCCTCATTCTTCTCTGTTACCTTTTAGGAATTTCATTTTCCCAAATACTCAGCACCTCTTTCTTCAGGGGAGGCATGCCGTTGAACAGACAGGAAAGAAAATGAGTTAAGGTTATGCTACTTGTTCACAGAATACTAGTCCAAAGTTTATGCTTAATTCATTAACAGTTAGTACTTACTCATAGGCTATTTTGAAAAAACAGAATTTCTTTTTGTCCCCCACCATCAGCTCCTCGGTATGTACGTCTCTGTCTGTTTTTTGGTAATGCTTTTCTGTTTTGAAACACAGAGATAGATGGAAGACTTTAGAATGCATTGATGGTATCATTTTTTATTATTTGTATTATATTTTCACACTCCACAATTACACTGTGAAGTATTGTTACCATACTGCATGATCATGGTAACTGCATAGATATTTCTGAAGGTTCAGTCATCATTTACTATAGCTTTTTGCCAGCTTGGTCTTATGAGCATGTTTACTGGTTTCACTGTTGCAGAACAGTGTTGACATTTTGCTTTTCATGAGGGCTTCTTTTTTATCCAACTTTAGGGAACATGACATTCTGTAAAAACAGAATGACATTTGAAATCGTTTCACTTCCTTGTTTACTTCTGTGTTACCTTTCTATGCAACTACACAGCCATTTTGTATGCGTGGTTCAAGTATCCTGCAATTTGCCAATGCCTTTTATTGTTTGCCTGCACACTCACCGGGAACTGATTCATCATCAAACAAAGGGATGCAGCTTTTCAGCACTTTGCTAACCAAGCAGTATGCATTGTGGAACACAGTACAGTGTGTTGCATGTCTCTTGTTACATTGTGTTTATAAAATCTGAGTTAAATCATGCTGTGCTTAACCAGTCTGGTTTTTAGCATTTGCATTACAAAGTTACTAGGTGACATGTAGTTTTCAAACAAAAACATTTTACCTTTGTATTTATTTTCTTACTTTGTGTAAATCATTTATAAAGAAATCTTATGGAAAAGATGTGAAATGAATTCAGTATACCAAAGTGGCCACGATAAGGATATCAGTTCTTTATACTAGATTCGGAACATACTAAATAGAATAATGAGCAACATGTCTGCATGCCTGCCTGCCTTCTTTCTTGAATACTGGGTGAAAGGATGAAAGTGCAGAACTGGTATTTCTGAAGATACATGCTTAATGCTGCCTTTTAAGAAGATGCATCCCTCCCGTTACTAAGGATGTGACGACTCCACAGCAGTGTCATAGTGAATTCTACTTACTGTTTTTTTTATTCTGTACTTGACCTGTACTGAACCAGGTCAAGTCCTAAAGAGTGTGTAGTCTAAGGCTGTGTCATATGCAGAGGCATTACACTGAGGTAATTGGGGTGAATTCACCTTCTAGTATCTTGCAATACAGACATTTCCCTCTTCCCTCAAGGCAAGTATTTCAAACATGGTGACCAATTGTTACATTAATGTAAGCAGGTTCTTAACTATACCGGCTGAGTCCAATTCCTCCATTTTACATTGCTTCATTCTGGGACTAGCCTGACTTTGCTCTTGGAAGCCCTATTCTATTGCACCAATGCATCACCATTTCCATTTGAAATTTTGGATTTAGATATCTGGGAACCAAGAAAATCAAATGCCCATAATATTAAGTAGTGAATTCAAATAATCAATGAATCCTTCCAGGCATGGTCTCTCCATACTGCTTCTTTGGACCCTTTTCTAGGTTCTGGGCTTGACTATCATATTTGGCAAGATGTATATCTATCTGTCTTTCTAAATAAAAATTAAAAGAATTACAAGGATCTGCAAAGCCTTGTCAGAAAACAAGGAAAGCAAGGAGAGCACATGACCAAGGATGTCAACAGGACTAGATCCGCATGATCCCCGGGACTGCGCTGCACTGGGTGCTCTGGACAGTTAATCCACTGACACAAAGCCAGTTTGCTGCTGAGCACTTGTCATGGGAGAGGTGAGTTTTCAGAGGGAACAGCAGCACTTGGACACATTGCAGGGGTCTCACCTGCTAACATCGTTGTCAGCTTATTACTTCTGTATCACTGGTCACTCTGGTTGGACTCATGTTACACTCAAAAAGTTGTTACAAGCAAAAAGGAGATTTACCTTATATAAAAAGTAATGAATCTATTGTTAGCGTAACAGAAGTACTAGCAGTCTAATATATGAATTATTATTAGTCTAGATGTAATTATTACTGAGGAGGAGAGATAAAAAGAGGAGAGACGAGAGGAGAGAAAAGAATACTACTATACTACCACAGGGAAAAAACAAGGTAAAATTTATATGTACGGACTTCCTAGTATCCAGCCCTTTTTCTCGGGTGTTATGCTCACAATTGCACTGATCCTCTGGGTCAGTGGCTTCAGGCTGCAGTGAGGGCAGGGAGGAAACATTGCCAGGTGTCAGGATCCCAGGTCCTTTGCTAGGATGAGCATGATGTTGATGGTGTCTTTTTCTTTCCTGTTTGCTTTCTTGGAGACATTTTTATGTTTGCTAAAAAACTTAACATCTCCATTTTTCTTCACTGGCCTACTACTCTGTATTACACCCGAGTTTTCTAGTCACTGTAAGAATTGCTTTCTCAGATAAACAAACAAGCCAAGGCACAGCTCTGGGCAGGTTGAGACAAGTTCAGACAAAGCAGTCCTGACAAGCCTCAGTCCTGAGGCCTTGCAAAGTCAGCATAAAGCCTGTGGCCTGTTACTAGCAGTGACAATACTTTCTAGAAACTGGGCTGCCAGACAACTCTAGTCCAGGAGGTGCTTTCCTCTCCCTACAGGTATTGCAGATAAATGTTTCACTGAATGAAGTGGTCACCTCAGCTGGTTATTTCAGCCTATTTTGGATTTTGATAAACCAATGGGATCCAGCAGCAAACAGAAAAGCAAAACAGGTATAAGGACCAGGTGACCAGGTGGGCTGCCTGGGCTATTTAATGCCCGTTTCATCTGGTGCCAGGGACAGAGCGGTTAGGCAGTCAAAAACCAGTAGGCAGCAGCACTTTGCATTGCAGGCTGACGAAACACAGACCTTAGGAGAAATGAGACACAAACTACAAATTCTCTTAAAACTGCAGTCTTCTTTGGCTTCTTTCAACTTTTTGAGCCTAATGAGGAGAAATTTGATATGGTGAAGTGGTACTTTATGGTTGATGCCCTGTATCTTGAAAATGGATGTAAGGTAAGTCTTCAAAACAGGCTTTAAATAAAGTCATATTTGCAGTTCTTCAGCCAAAATAATTAATCGTCCATATCCACCATTTGCTTGGTGTGAAATTTAATGAAAAAGGAATTGCATAATTTCGTCTGCCTGCTCCGCTCTTCATTTGTCTCTACAATATGAAAACCCCTCTGAAACTGCAGTGCATCATCCTGCATGATTCGAGATGCCAGCATCTCCCTTCTCTAGCACTAACTGGATGGACATGCTATTATCTGATCAGACCAGCGGACTTCAAAAATGACCATGGAGAAAAGGCTGGCTTCTAGTTTGGAAGCACTGGTAATCTGAGAGTCATGATCACATTACCTATGTAAAATAGCACAAGCCGAGGTGGAACATTGTAGCAAAGAATAGCTCCAAATAACTCTAGGCAAGTAATACCTATGTAATGATTAACAAGGAAAGTACCTTTATGTAACGGAGCAAAATTCAGCATCATTAAATTCCCACACTAAGAATACTATCCCTATTTGCATACGTGCCTTTAGAAGGAGATGCTTTTTTTTCTTTTTTTCTTCCCCCTGGGGTACTTCAAGAATCTAAAACCTTCATGGTTTTTATGTATTTTGCATATCTTAGCCAAGACCATCAACGTGGCTGTTTTGTGTAAATAATCACATTTATATTCTTCTGCTGGATCTTCGTCAATGATACTGAGGAAAGAGATTTTATTTCAGCTGCTTAAAAAAAAGTAAGGTGTAATGATGATCTTCCACAAGAGTTAATACAGCCCTGTAGGGCTGGCTTCTTCACAAGCTCCCAGCAGAAGTCCCACACTTCTACATGCAAACTATGGCAGCTTGGGTATGCGAACTGTTGAGTGCACAGGTCCAGGTTGAAGTAACAAACCATAATGTGTTCAATGAAAAATAGACTAAACTTTGATCAGTGAATCCCTGACTTAGCAGACTTGCCACGTACTTGCTGTAGCTCTGACCATGTAGCTAAGCTGTGAAATCACACAACACACATCTTTGTGTCCTAGAGTTCAAACCCATAATTGAAACATTCTTCATAAAGCTATGAAAACACACAAGCTGCCATAGAAATACAGGCCTGGAAGAGAGAGATCATTAACAGTAAAGTGAGTTCAGCAGTGACGATAGCATCAGTGGCAGCTGGTAGTCTAACCTGTTCTTGAATGTGTCTAATGAAAGCCATTCTCTAATCTGCTGAGATCAAAAGGGATCATTATGAAAATCTGTTCCGATTTAACCCTAGACCTCCAGCACTGCACAAGCCAAAGTACTTCCCCAACCACAGAGCTGTCTTGTGAGGCTCCACCAGAATTTGAAGGAAGGTACCTAATCTGACGTGCTGGTAATACAGCAGGTTATGCACCATAGCCAGAGGTAAGCAGATAAGTATCTCGCTGTTACAAACAGCTTACACGGTATGAGATAAGAAGCCTCAGGAAACTGCCACTCAGCATGTGGGGTCTGACACCACCAGGAGAGCTGGCCAGACAGGTCTAAAAGGGCCAGAATGCTGGACGAGTGTAAGGGTACAGTCAGTCTAGCCCACAGGAGAGATCTGTGGATATCTTAATGTTTAAGCAGTGAAAATATCTGCACTGAGTCAGAAACAACTTTAAAAAAAAATAATGATACGAGAATAAAGAAGGGCTGTTGTTTCCTTTTAGTTATGCTGGCTTCCCACTTTTCTTTCAGGGTTGTTTATATAAAACAAAGGCGTTTTCAGAAACCACTGGCTTAGTAGAACTGCTTGAAAATAGCGAGCAAGTGAGTCAAGCTGGGGTGGTTGGAGATGGGCAGGCACTTTAATGCATTGCCAAACAGCAGGATTCAGGGG